CCTTTTATCAAAAACTGCTCAAGCCTTGTGTGACAGACACACAAAATTAAACCCTTTCACACTAATCTTTGATATTTTAGCATGCAAATTTTAATGGTTTATCCTTCTACTGGTTTTCTATCAACTGACTAAATTTCATCAACTTATATTCATCAGAATTTTTTCTTTAATATAAAAATGAAGAAGGCATTCACTAAATGTCCAGCTTGAGTTAAATTTTTTAATGTATGTGAACCTGATCTTAGATTACATGGAAGCCAGTTCTTACTGTGGAACATGGATAGAAGCTACCATTTTTTATGTGGACCACTTCAAGAAGGCTAAACAAATTATGAGGAAGCGGTAGCTGTCACTAATCCAAGAACATCTTGTAGAACTGTCAGCTGCCACTAGGTTATTACCTGTATCAATTATCAGTTTGGAAATTGCAAATCTTCCATTGAGTGAAGTGACTGAAATTATGGACATAATATGTAACACATTATTGAAAAACAAAAGTAGCCTATCTAAAAGGTTGTACAAAAAGTTGTAGAAGATTCTGGACAAAAGTACAGGATTTTTGGCACTATCAATTATATCCATCATTCTACAAGGCTATCTAATCTAACAACTGACTGTATGATTAAAGAATTAACATATTTTAAATATGCACCAAATACATCAAATTGTGAAGTTTCTCTAGATATAAATCTGTATTTTCTCATAAATGGCAAAGGTTCAATTTTGAAAATATATATAGTGTGCTACTGCAACTATTAACTATTCAGGAATTACATTTAGTATCAATAAATGATTTAATTGTCACTTTCTGTGTTCATTGGTATTCTTAAATTATAATTTAAAAATACACATTTCTGGCATTTAAAGCACAAACATATGCATATTTCAGTGATTATAAATGCATAAAGATCTAGCACTTACTAATGACATGAGACTGATAATTTAAAAAATTGATCTGATTAATTGCAAAATAAATTTTACAAACAACTAAATTATATTTTATAATAATTAAATATAGATTCTGTTAAGCTTTCATATTAAAATCTAATAGGGAAGCTTATGAGTCTTTATATAGTATTTATACAAATGTGTTATTTTGTTGGCTAGATATTAACTAAAATTTTCACTGAAAAATCATCATTATAATGATCATGTTAAATAAATTATATAGAAAAATTGCTTTGAAGATGGTTAAGGCTAACTGCAATCTGGAGTTCCTTAAGGATTGTGCTGACAAAAGGGTGTTTCCGATGTCTATACATAGAATTAGCATAACAAAGGAGTGCAATGCATTAAAGAGAAGGTTCCAAAATACATGTTTACGTAAGTCAATTAAGCTTCTAAAAAACAAGAAATATGGAATCTTAAAGAAGTTTATTGAATTAGAAGACATAATATACCAAATCCAGAATGATTAAAAGAAATCAATAGCAGTGTGGTAAAACTATTAAATATTTTATTTAAAACATTTTTCCTATAGTTCTTACTGCTGTATTTTATAGTAAATGGATATGATGCTTTTCTATATTTTTCTATTAAATGTAGAAAATAATTTTAACATAATCAGCTAGTTATATCTTTGATGACAATAATAAAATCACTTGACTATTTGAAAACTGATTAACTGAGTTTGATTAAATGAAAATACATGCTAAGCAGATGCATGTTTTCAGTTTACAACTTTGGATGCTTTAATGATTTTTATGTACTACTTTAAATTTAAAATAAAATTACGTTACAGTTAATTACTATAATTACAAATACTCTATCATTCCGAGATAAATTGTTTTCCTGGAAGCATCACTTACTTCTAGGATCCCTAACCAAATCCTATTTAAACTCTAAAAATTAAACCTAAATCAATAATTCCTTGATTTAGCATTTTTCTGTATCTATTACTCAAAAGTTTTAATCTTGAAGACTGTTAGTCCTAGAACAAGCATTTGTTTTATTGTGACATCATCAAAATGCCAGGATGCAATTTTTAATCATATTTTAAATTTATTTAATTTAAAATATATGTTCTCCATCTCAAATTAATAGCATTCTGTCCCTGTACATCATACTTTTCCTGTTAGCAATAGAGTTGTGCAGGTTATGTAACTAACTCCTTTCAGAAGAAAGTTTTTGAATTGAAATAACATGACTTCCAGTGCAAACCAGAAGTTCATACATAGTTAATCGGGGCCTAAAGCTTTCCATATCTGGTCTCGATTTTCATCTATCTAACTCCATTCTCAAGATTATAGGAGAACAGACAGACAGACGACAGTGGGAATTTACAGGTCTACAATTTTTTTCACATTGCAGCCCAATGATTGTTTTTAAGAAAAAGCAATACCACAAACAAATGTTAGTACATATTGTTAGTAGAGTAGAACCTCAATTATCCAGACTAATTGAGGATGAAGGAAGCCTGGATAAGGAAAAATCCAGATAATCGAAAAAAATAATAATTGACAGTGAAAGACATGCACATACAGTATGAATAATTTTTATTTGTCTAGATTTATATATACTGTAGCTTCAATGTTAAATTATTTTTTATTAAGAAATTCAATTATCGATTTTTGTTTAAAGCTAGCTGTTCTCTTTGAAGCTGTTAAATCACAAATATTTTTAAAACATATAAGTTGTCCTGAGTTACTCTTCTTAGCTCTCAAACCACTTCATGGTGACATCTAAACACCGAAAAGATTCAGAATGTGTAGGACCAATATATCTTACTTTGCAAATCTCTTCTTCATGTTCTCAATCTTGTTCATCTGAGGCAGATATTTCTTTAATTATTTCATCATTCAAAATTTCGAATCCAGGATCATTCACATCACAATTTAACCACTCAGTTACATCTTCTTCATCACATTCAGCACATATTAAAATTTGTGCTATTGCTTCCGCAATGTCTCGTACACCACTTTCTACTGTGTTACTAGAATTTTCTAATGGTCTTTTCAAAATTTTGTTCCATGATTTTCTCAAAGTTGATACATCTATAGAATTCCAACTCTCTGCTGCTATGTAGCAACAGTCTTTTATATTTATTTTCTTATGGAAGCTGATAACTGTTTCTTCATTATTTTTGTCTGCTAGCAATAATCGTCGAAGCATCTGTTTTCTATCAATATATAAGCGTTTTACTGTTTCTATCACATTGTATTACTGTCTGGTTGCATTACTGACATGACATTTGGTGAAAGAAATTTTACCGTAAACATTCATCGATTTGGTTTAAACATGCTATAGATGGGTGGGACGATGCATTCTCTAGTAATAATAATGTTTTTCTTCTTTTATCTGTGGAGTTTTGATATTTTTTTACTTCTGAAATGAATTGCTTTTCGTACCATCGTTTAAAAATTTTTCCATTCATCCAGGCTTTTTTCTGATGGTCATATTCATCCAGAAAACTTCTGATATTTTTAAAGCATCTAGGGTTCTTTGATTTCCCATTGACAAGCAGTGGGAGTCTGTGTCTGCCTGCTGTCTTGGCACACACCATAATGGTGACATGTTCTTTACTAGTTTTGTACCCTGGTGCAGTATTTTCACGCCTTGATGCTAAAGATTTGTTGGGTAGTTTCTTCCAATTTAAACCAGTCTCGTCAGCATTGTAAATAAATTCTTTGTCAAATCCTTCCTTCTCTACGAACACCTTCAATGTGTCAATGAAAGTGTTTGCTGAAGGTATGTCAGCAGAAAGCTTTTCCCTGTGAACTTCAAATTCCCTGATATCATGTCGTACTTTGAATTTTTCAAGCCAGACCAAACTTGCTTTGAAGGTGGGATTTCCATTTAATCTTGTATTAAAAAATATTGCTTTCTCACACAATAATGGACTAGATATTGGCTGTCCAGATGATCATCATTGTATGAACCACATAAACATACACTCTTCAACTTCATTTCCTGATTTTTTCATAACTTTATGCTCTGATGTTCCATCTTCTGACATTAAACAATTAGTAAACTTCATAATTTTTTCACTTTGTTTTTTTATATCCGAGATCGTTGACGTTCCAACACCATATTTATTAGATAATGAACATCCAGACTCATCGCATTTCAAAGCATTGATTATATCCAATTTAATGATAATACAGCACATTTACTTTTCAATGACATATCGGTAATATTAAAAATAAATACTGTATTTAAATCATGATCAAATTTTCAAAAAACAAACATTCGTATTGAATTTGGACTACTACTGACCAGCACTAACAGACTGCCTATTGTTTAAAGACCCTCTGGTGGCACAAGAACATGGATTTGATAAAATAAAAAGCAGTTGAAACTGTCAAATTTTTATTCATAAAAATGCAAACTATTTATCGTTTTATGATGAGTAAAATTTTTTGTCGCATTCATGGCTTTTAAGTAATGCATAAACCTTCAAGGCGTGAGGCCGTAAGCGGTGGCCCACGTCACCCATGGCCATAGAAATGATGTAATTTCAATATAAATTATTTATAAATATGTATGTCAAGTTATATTTTTATTACGACACAAAATGTGTTAAAAAGTTTACAACCACTGTGCCAGGTGAGACGTTGTTGGAACAAAAAATGTTATGCATTCCATCACATACATAGTGTTGCAATTTCGCCAAGTGCAAATCAGCAAATTCGTAAAATTTTTGTTTATTTTGAACAATCTGGATAATCAAGGTTCTACTGTAGTTGATGTCTTATGAAATATAGTATAAGAAATAGCAGTTTGGAGTGTATAGCTGATATGATATGAAGTTAGCTGTTCTTACTTTGCATGCATCTTACCTACCAGCCAATGAACTAGAAGGGAAGAGATTGTGATGACAATAAGGCCAACCCCAAACCAGTGCTAAGGGTTACCAAAGCACTTCATATGTTCATGTTCACGAAAACATTTTTGAATGCTCATGACATCACCAAAAGAGATCAATCATACATTGTGAATATTGAAAGTCTATTGTTCATTTTTATTATTCAGTTTTTCTAGCCAAATTGATCCATTTCAATTATTAATTAGCCTTAATATAGCCCAATAAAAATCTATCAGATTGTTTGATTTATTAATATATTGGATTATGCATATTATTAGGCCTATATGTTATGGACTAAGTGATTAATACAGGCATTATTCATATTACCCAGTCATTATGAATAATGACAAACAAAATCGAAAACTAATAAATTTCAGTTTTTTATCATAATTTATCAGACTGACCAGTCACTATGAATACTGCTATCAAAAAAGTTGGGAAAAGTGATGATAATAATAGACACAACCAACGATCACCTGAATAATCAGGCTAGAATTGGTTGTGTCTATATACTCATTGGGCATTAAGATGTTTATTATAAATAATAATAATACCTTGAAGAGTGATCATCTGACATACACTAGTCCAATCAACACTTCCATCTGAGTTGCACATGCATATTGCATTTAGTATCAAATTTTGAATTCATGTGACCAGTAATTAATCTTGTGCAACATTTTAATTTTACTTTTGTCTCTTAAAATAGTATTTTCTACTTTGAAAAAGTAACGATCATGAAGCAATCATTAAGTGATATGAATAGCCGCTTCAACAACTGATTAAATGAGTTAACAGCAGCAAAAAGTCAGAGTCAAAAATCAAAGCTATCAAAAGAATTTCAGTGTTTACATAGATATGATGTCGTATCTATCAGAGAAATAGAAAAATTAACTGTGCCTGTAAAAGAAGGTAATTTGATTAAATATTTATGTTCACACTGAAGAAATATTTCAGATATTGCATGATGACCATATTGCTATTGATCATGGCGGCAGAAACTATATGGAAAAAGAATTAAGTACAAAATATAAAAATATTACAAAGAATACAAAATGTGATCATAGTTTACTTGAACTTATGTGAAATTTATCAGAAAAAATCAGAAGATTCCTTAAAAAGGCTTGGTAGTTAAACCAATTTTAGTAATGAAATGAACTCGAGATGTCAGGTCGATCTTATAGATATGCAGTCGCAAGCCGATGAGCAATATAAATTTATACTCGTGACCCAAGACCACCTGACTGAATTCATTTAACTATGACCATTAAAAACCAAAAGGGCTGAAGATGCAGTCTACGTTCTTATAGACATTTTTACAATTTTTGGCGCACCCAGTATTCTTCAAAGTAATAACGGCAGAGAATTTGCCAATAATGTCATTGAAAAACTGAGTAGTATGCAGCCTGAATTAGACTAGAGCACGGAAAGCTCAAGCACTCAAAAAGTTAGTGTTCAGTAAAAAGATGAAATCAAGACGTAGAAAATATGTTTAGTTCTTGGTTGAAGACTAACAACATTTAACAAGTGGTCGGAAGGATTACGTTTTGTACAACTGATAAAAAGTCGAGGGCATCATACTGGTATAAACTGCAGTTCCAATGAGGTCATGTTTGGAGCAAAAAGTTGGATTAAAGAATTTTATACCTGATGAATCATTGACCAACATTAATTAATACAGCTACATATCAACAGAATGCCGAAAATCTATCAGGCTAGTTTAATGCTAATTATTAAATAAATTACGTAATCAATTTGGCACTAGAGGTAAGAGTTAGGCGCCATCTATCATAAAATATTAAC